AACATCGTCACCTTCATGTTAGGTTCTCGATTCATCAAGGCATCTTCTTAGTGTTCTTGAGTAGAACCCTTCCATTCTTCAAACATCCACCCACTAAGAACACATAAGGTGAGTTCATACCCCTATCTTTTCATATTTTTCTTAAGTTTTAAGGGGGGGGGGTACAAGTTAAAACACCAAGAACACAACTAAACTCATTTAACAGCCTTCATCAGAAAAGTTCAACTCCATTCACAGACTGTTTTGGTCAACTTAAACATTTTAGTTTTCAAAATTTTATTAGGTGCAAATATTTAAGGTTCATACCTTTAAAATGACTACTTGCACATCACCATACGATTTTTCTACGATTTATGGTGATTTTTACAAAACTGCCTATCATTTCAGAAACAAATTCGGACCAGTCTGTGAATATGAACATTTTAACACAAGTAAAAGACTTCTAAAAATCATAATAAAAATTATGAATAAACTAGACACATTTTTTGAACTCTCAGAATTTACGGAATCAGTTTTTGACTTCGTATGATTTTTCTAGGATTTTTCTAAAACAGTGTAGAAAGGTAAAAATCTAGATAACAGTTTATAACTTTCATCACACTTTGTAACTTGTTGAGCAAAGTGTTAATATTTGAAGATTTCATATTTTACATGTGTTTCTTGTTGTGGTATAATTATATAACAAAAAATACTCACTGAATTGTAAGAATCCTCCACCCTTACCATTAATACAAAACAAAGCAAGATAAACATAGTTATATTTTGTTATGCATTCGACTTACATAGAAAAGGGTTCTTATACACCACAAACAAACATACTAAACTATAATAGGTATAGTTAGGTTGCATATACATTTCAAACATTTTGATAAACTATAATAGGTATAGTTTATGTTCATTTACATTACAAAAGGGTTTTCATACGAAAAGGGGTACAAAATACAAAGTACCGGTTTTATACAAAAAGGGGTACAAATACAAAGTACCAGGTTTTCATACGAAAATGGGTACAAATACAAAGTACCGGTTTCATACAAAAAGGGGTACAAATACAAAGTACCATGTTTTCATACGAAAAGGGGTACAAATACAAAGTACCGGTTTCGTACCAAAAAGGGGTACAAATACAAAGTACCAGGTTCACACAAAATAGTTTTTATGATATTAAAACTATATTTCATCTAGAATTGTTAGACTTCAGCTATAATTGCTAAGTGTATATGCTAGAGTTATATAAGAATCTAGTCATAATCGACTTAGAATTGGTAGGCCCGCCTCATCTCCTGTTCCTTGTTTGGTTGTGGACCTAAGGCAGACCCATTATATTCAACGGTTTATTTAACTTAATTTTTATATAACTTGTATGCGCTGGGCGATTATAGAAGGAACCTATAGGTCCTTCTAGGGTACATTATCGCATAACATAGAAACATTCATTTTACACTTAATAAAGAAAATATTGGATTTTCTTTGGAAACATATTTCTATTACAAACTATTTCATCTAGAATTATTAGACTTCAGCTATAATTGCTAAGTGTATATGCTAGAGTTATATAAGAATCTAGTCACAATCGACTTAGAATTGGTGGGCCCGCCTCATCTCCTGTTCCTTGTTTGGTTGTGGACCTAGGGCAGACCCATTATATTCAACGGTCTATTTAACTTAAATTTTATATAACTTATATACACTGGGCGATTATAGAAGGAATCTATGGGTCCCTCTAGGGTTCATTATCGCATAACATAGAAGCATTCATTTCACTTAATAAAGAAAATATTGGATTTTCTGGAAATCAAACTCTATCGCTTTTACAAGGAAAACGGTTTCTTCCTCAAACAAAACTCTTATGAACTCACCAACTTAATTGTTGACACTTTTTCAAAACTACTTGTATTCTCAGGAAATCAGTGAAACAGGAAAACATCAGCACTTTGAGGATGGGACGTTAAATCGTCAAACAGTTTATTTTGTGTTCATAATGTAATTGATTTTGAAACATGTAAACATATACTATGGTGTAACCTTTTCAATTATATTTATGATGATTGTATTTACTTTGAGCACTATTATATTTGTTGTTGTGATACTATACATGAAGTCCTCCACCCCCGGACGTTTCCGCCATCCTTGGTTTGGGGGTGTGACAACTTCTTGGCCGGGACTAACGAAAATTTGTAATTTTTGTTATTTCATTGAAAAAATTTCATTAAAAATGGTGCGGTGGAAGACTTCGTTACTGATTAACGAAGTGAAGAGGAAGTTTCGTTATCTGCATTTAATTTCGTTAGATTGGGGAAGAAAACAATCATTTTCGATTTTGGTCCCTGCATTTTTAAAGAAGTGGCACAAATGGTCCAATTTCGACAGTTGGGGTAATTTTCGATAGTTTGAAGGGGGAAGAATTTTCGAAAACAGTCCCTGAAATTTCGACAATTTGGCACAACATAACCAAGTTCGACATTTGGGGTGATTTTCGACATTTTGGGACTAAAGGCTGTAATTTTCAAAAATAGTCCCTAAAGTTTGGCAGTTTTTGCCCAATTTCGAAAATGGACTGGTTTTGCTGAGAAATTGAAGAAACTGCATTTAAGGCCCCTGCAGTTTATGCAAATTGACGCTTTCTACCCAGCTTCGGAAAAGGGGGAGAGTTTTGCATTTTTTGCTGTTTTGGGCGCACCGGGTCACTGCATAATTTTGAAATTGACAATTTCTACCCGTTTTTGAGAAATTTTGTCAAAGACGGTCCATGAACGAAGTTAAAAATTGAAGATTTATTCGGTTTTCCGGATTGAAGCACAAAGTTTATGCCACATGTTAAGAGGGAGTTTTGACACGAAAAATTCCGAATAGAGCACGTTCTCTTTCCTTGAAGGTTTTATAATCAAATTTCGATTATAAAAAGGGGGAGAAATTTATATGGAAATTCGAACTTGAATTTTTCATATTACGCGGATTTGAAGACCGAAGTGACCTTGAATTTTTGAAGTTTACGAAATGATGTGATTAGAGATTCGAAAGTGATTTCGGTTCAAAATGGGTTTGGATTTATTGAAGATTTTTGGGGTGTGTTTTTATGCTCAACTTTTGGGTGATTAAATGGAATTTGGGATGCTCTTAATCATTCGTTGATGCTCGGTTTGTATGGTCTCACATCCTAGAGCCCAAATTAAAGAATCATGGAAGAATTGAAGATTTGAGATTCATTTCGACACGTGTCACCCTTGAGGCTCGGATCGCGTAGTTGCTCGATTTTGGAAGATTTGAAGTGGGTCATCCATTCCTAACTTTGAGGGGGAGAATGTTGGGGTGCAAAGTTATCCATGTATGACTTTGTAATGTGTTGAATTTTTTAAGACCCACTTGCATGTGGTGCATTAGCCTTTTGACATGAGATGGAGAGTGAGAGAGAGACATGTAAATACCTCTATATAAGGTAGGTTTATTCCACATGTAGAGGTGTGCTTGAGAGGTGTAAAAGTTGAGTGTGTAAGTGTGTGTTATTTATGTAGATTTAGATTTAGATCCTTTTTTGTAACACCATACATATTCAATACATCTCTTAAACACCCAAATCACCATGTTCATTGTGTATTCTTTAATTCCGCATGCCAAACCATGTTCATAAGTCACTACAGTATTAACTTATTTCAACATGGTTTTTAATATATACATATATATAACTTATATAAGCATGGTTTTTAATATATATATATATATATATATATATATATATATATATATATATATATAACATGCTCTCATGGCTAATGGTGATTTAATGTAACAAGGTTACAATGTGGTTTTCACTTATACATGATACATCTTTTGACTTGGTTTGGCTCCAAGTTTGCTAGTTGTCACACCTGAAACAAGAAACTGAAACTCTAAGCCAAAGCTTAGTGAGTTCCCCCAAAGCACCACCACACAAACATATAACTAAACAGATATCGGGTCCACAACCTGCTGGATGGAATGCACCCACCCATAACCTTTCGGTTGGTTTGCCCAATACATACCGGGTCCACAACCTCTTGGTTGGATTACCCCTAGCCTACAACCTCACAGTTGGAATGCCTTGGTCTGTTGACTGAAAACACAAAGCAGTACAGTCTCAACCCTACCATAACATATCAACATATACATAAAAAATAACATATATCCAACAATAAATGATCATATAACCAGTCAATAGACAAACAGGCGGATCTACAGATCACTACCGCATAGCAACATCATATATACCAGAACACAGATCTAACAAATCACTACAACATAACAACATCATCTATACCAGGATACATAAACTAATGGGCCGACATTGGTGCTTTCGACCCACAAGAACAGTGAGGAAAAATCACTTCTTAATACAAACAAATAACTGAATAGGTATTTGCTCCGAATATCAGCTCTACCCGTCACCTTCCAGAGATGTAGGAGGGTGCAAAACTTTCAGATCCAAGGATGTTCCAAGCTTCCAAGTTGTTCTCTTTTCCTTCTTCTTCCTCTATAAACACCAAAACACACACACACCGATGACTCAAGAATGCAAAAAAATGAATTAGGGTTTCAAAGGGGTCGAAATGGGGCTGGAGGCTGATGAAAGGAAGAAGACTTGGGGGTTAAGGATGTTAAATAGGGTCCAAACCCTAAAAATTAGGGTTTGCACCCTGGTCACTTCCAAAAATTACAAAAATGCCACTAAGGGCCAAAATGCAGTTAATTCTCATATCAAGGGTTAAAAGTGGAAATACCTCAATATCAAGATGTTACAAAATATAAATAAATTTAATCAATAATTATGTTTGATTTTGGGTCTAAGAATACCAATATATAGTTGGATAATTCTAGAATTGTGATTGCAATCATTTTTAAAATCTATGATTTCGACCCTATTGCTTGGGGTATCACGAAATCTGATTTGGGATAATCTAAACAATTTATAAGTCAGGCAACTTCCAAATCCGAAACACAAAAAATTACCTTGCTGTTTTGCGTTTATGGTGAGACAGATGAAAGCATATTATTAATTTCGGGTATCAAAATTATTCACCATTTTCTGGAACATTCATCTTCCTTTATACAGGGAAGGCGACGATTAAAAGTTTGTTACATACAAAATGGCGCCAAAACAAGTGGTTAGAAGCGTGGTTATAAGACATAATCGATTCTTACATCACAATGATGCCAGAACCTGTTTTTGGTGGGAAGTGCATGTCCATACTCTTTTTTGTAATAGAATTTCGTTTAGGTTCCGGGGTGCTACCCCTTAATCCTGTCCGCTGACCGGTCTTTGGAACCAGTGCTAGGCGCTTTGCACTTAGATCCCGACAAAAGCGCTGTCCCTTGGAACCTGGTACCTAGAGGCGTTGCCCCCAGACCCCCATATTCTCGAGTTCACATTTATCATTTCGAGTGTGCACCCCGTACCTTCTGTCTCGGTGGATAAATAGAACTCAACATATCTCAAAATTAATAATAACTACACTATATACTAAAATGTTGATAACACTAAAATTACCAACAAGTTATAGTATATATATATATATATATATATATATATATATATATATATATATATATATAATATATATATATAATTTTATTTCCGAATAAATAAAAAAAACACATCTTCTTGATGAAATAAAAATCATCGCAATAAAAGAATCATGAAAAATACTATACTCCATTCTTTTCGTGGCATGATTTTTCATTTCATCATATTTAAAAAAAATAAAATGATTTATCAATTTCGATACTATTATTTGTTTTGTTTTGACGGTGAAGGTTCGATCTGAAACAAGTCGCATACGATAGCTGTTCTGTACGATTCTCCATTTAGTTTGTACACATCGGCAAGCTATGGCGGATTAGCCGAAGGCTTATCTGTTCCTCTTACGACGCCGTTTCCTTTTCCAAATTTCTTTTACATTTTCCTTCCGTCTTCTTCAATTAGTTCTTCCTCGACCAGTTTTCGAGCTTTTCTTTTTCTACGAAACCCTAGGTCCGTACTTCTTATCAATTCTCCACGTGTTGTTGTGCTTTGTTTTGATTTCTTACTTAATTCAAATTATTTTTTATTGATTTTCAAAATTTGATGTCTGAATGACTGAATTATGTGAGAGACTGCGTTCTTTTGGTTTGTACTAATGTTCATGTATTTTGAGTTAATTAGTCGTAATCAGAATCAGTTTGTGAAACTGGAACTGTAAAGATCATGTTTTTCGAAGTGATTTTGATGTTCTTGTCGGTAATTTGGGAAATCGCGCAGTCTTGGTTGACTCATGTTGACATTAGTCAATGATCACTCAATGCACAAAAGAAATGTAGCTTGAATTGTGCTCAGGAACCTGATCCGTTCGACATTGTAGATTTATCATATTGAGTTTTAATATTTTGAAGTTCACATTAGCAGATTGTTCTACATAAGTTTTTAATAGACGAATTATACTTCTTTGGTCATGGATTTGTAAGAAATTGGCACTTATAATGATTTGTACATTGTGAAAAATTGGGATTTTTGATTATGTTTGAGAATTGAGATAGTGATAGGATGATAATGTTGCTTTGAAACAAGTTTTTCTTTGATAATGTAGCCGAAATAACTTTTAATTAGTATCATAGTAATGATAATGTACTGCATCTTTTCATTATTTTATTGAATCTTGATGGTGTTTCTCTTTCTAATATTACAGGATTGGGTTCATCAAGTTTTTCTTTTAGAACACCAAATTGCTACATATTATACACTAGACAACTTCTCATCCCAACAATTTACCCATTCAAGCAATTATCAGTTCATAGATTGTTAAGTCTATTTAGATCATTGTTTGATAATAGCTTTATAGCTGGAGTTAAAAAGTATACCCAATAGGAACAACAATGTTACCATGTTGGAATGAGTTGACCTAGCACCTAAATGCGTTTAGGGCTTCTTTTGGCAACAACAGTTTTATGTTTATGATTTGGAGAAAAACATGGAAGTACCAAAGGAGAGGTTTCCTGTGAATGCTGAGGATTACAAGGTATATGAAGAAGTTGGTGAAGGAGTCAGTGCCTCTGTGTACAGGGCGCTCTGTGTTCCCTTGAACAAGATAGTTGCAATCAAGGTTCTTGATTTGGAGAAGTGTAATAATGACCTGGTATGTTGTCTTTTTTTTCCTACCCAAGTAAATTTTTTTAATGAGTGCTGTATACAAGGTTATCGAAATAGTGAAATGATACAACTACCATCAATGGCACCATTGTAATTGCCTTTGCCACATCAACATTGTATGGGTGTGCCATAGTTATGGGTATATATTGTTGAACACAACTTTTTTTTATGGGAAACAACAACACTTTTTCTTAAGACCACCCAAGAAAAAACTACAATACCAAGAGGTTAGGGACTTACACTATAAGACTACTTTAAGACTTTTTTGAGGACACCCTTTTAGAGACTACTACAATTTGCTTTTTTGGATACAAAACTTCAGTGAGGGTGGAGGGTATTTGACAACACATTTATCCTCTGTTCGGCTCTTCTAACATAACTAGATATTGTTACACATTTCTAGATTTCCCAAACACTTCTACATTTTATTATGAAGCTTCTAGACGAGCTTCTACTAATAGTAGGTTACTTAAACCTCTTTATAATTGGGATTTTAGACTCTGTTGGGCTAGTGATGATCTTTTAACATATATTTATATTTTCAATTAAAACAGGATGGCATACGTCGTGAGGTACAGACCATGAGCCTGATCGATCATCCAAATTTGTTACGGGCATACTGTTCTTTCACAACCGGCCACAACCTTTGGGTTGTTATGCCATATATGGCTGGCGGGTCATGTCTTCACATAATGAAAACTTCTTTTCCAGAAGGTTTTGAAGAGCCTGTCATTGCTACATTGCTTCGAGAAGTCCTTAAAGCATTAGTCTATCTTCATGCACATGGACACATTCACAGAGACGTGAAGGTATTGACACTTGATTCCAGAACAATTTATAAAATTCAATGATAGTCTCATAGTCATTAGTCATATGCATTTGATTACTACTTATTAATCTCGGTTAGTTTATTTCTTCAGGCAGGGAATATATTAGTTGATTTTAATGGCTCCATAAAGTTAGCTGACTTTGGAGTATCTGCATGCATGTTTGACACTGGGGATAGGCAACGTGTTAGAAACACCTTTGTGGGAACTCCTTGTTGGTATGTTTCACTTTTACCCCTTCAACTTTTCCCTTTTTTTTATATTTGTCATTTCTTTTGTAGGATGGCACCGGAGGTCATGCAACAATTACATGGGTATGACTTTAAGTAAGTGGTGATTCGTATGTAATTTACTATTCTACTATATTTCTTTTAGCAAATCATTTAGCTTTTTAGACCTATTTATTTATAGGGCAAAATGAAGAAAAACAAAACTATTTATCTACTGGCATTCAGAAAAACCCTTATATTTTGTTTATATACAGAAAAACCCTTACAGTTTCATATTTACCCTAATATCCGTTTTTTTTTTTTTAAAAAAAAAAACGGACATTGGGGTTACTGTGAAAGGTAACTGAAAAATGTAAGGGTTTTTCTGTATATAAATAAACTGTAAGGGTTTTTCCGAATGCTGGTAGATAAATGATGGTGTTTTTCTGTATTTTTTTTGCCCTTATTTATAATCTAAAATCCAAATAATCACATTGTGTATAAACAGAGCAGACATCTGGTCATTTGGAATCACAGCACTCGAACTTGCTCATGGCCATGCACCATTTTCAAAGTATCCTCCAATGAAAGTAATTAATTCATATCTTTTTTTTACTTCTATTTTCAGTTATAAAATTAGGTAGTGTTTGTTATGATGGAATCAAAGAAGGAATGGAATGAAACAATCCATTCCCGAAGGAATGTGATTCCTTCAATTTTGTTAAATTTCATCCTTAGATAAAAAAGGAAAAAAAATATTTCAATACAAGTATACATCACACTTTACTTATGTAAATTTTGATGACACAAACTTTTTTTGAATTATTGCTTCTAAATTTGTCTCATTTCCTCAGGTTTTGCTTATGACTCTACAAAATGCTCCACCAGGTCTTGATTATGAAAGGGACAAAAAAAGTTTTCAAAGGTTTGTTCAACTTCCAACATCCAATATCCAAATATATAAAATCTTATTATGCTAAGTTTTATAACAATTTGCAGTCTTTTAAAGAAATGGTTGCTGCATGCTTAGTGAAAGATCCAAAAAAACGTCCTTCATCTGAAAAGCTTTTAAAGCATCCTTTCTTTAAACAAGCAAGAACACCTGATTACCTTCAACGTACTATACTTGATGGTCTTCCTCCTCTAGGAGATCGTTTTAGGATGCTAAAGGTGTTTTTCTTTTCAAAATTATTGTTTTTTTTTAGAGTAAATTACACGAATGGTCCCTATGGTTTGGGGTAATTTGCACGTTTGGTACCTAACTTATTTTTTTAACTCGGAAGGTCCCTACAGTTTGTTTTTGTTGCGCGCTTGGTCCTTGTCTTACCTAAAAAGACTAGTTTACCCTTGATTTTTTAATTTATTTAAGTAAACACAACCCCAACCCTACTTCAACCTCACGTTATCTTACCTTACCTACCTCATCTTATTTAAATAAATTAAAAAATCAAGGGTAAAATAGTCTTTTTAGGTAATACAGGGACCAAGTGCGCAACAAAAACAAACTGTAGGGACCTTCCGAGTTAAAAAAATAAGTTAGGGACCAAACGTGCAAATTATCCCAAACCATAGGGACCATTCGCGTAATTTACTCTTTTTTTTTAAAATTTAGTTTTGTAAGTTTTTTTTGACATGTTTGTTGTTTTCAGGCAAAAGAAGCTGATCTTCTTCTACAGAATAGTGAATTAAATGGAAATAAAGATCATTTATCACAGGTGACATGGCTTTTTCATATAAGATTATGTTTATTGGCAAACTGTATGACTTCACTTTTTATTAAAATAACTATTTTCTCTCTCATCCTAATCTTTTTTTTTTTAGCAACCCAATCCAGCACAAACTTGTATTGAAAAGTTATTATCATTAGTTAGTTTTTATTCCATGTAAGATAATTAAAGAATTTCATTACAAAACAAATTGAGGTATTCTTTTTTAAATATAAAAACAAACTAAAAGAAGTAGAAAATTACGAATTTTCGGATTGTACATGAAAATATGCCAATGTTGGTCTCTATTATGGAGAAAAAAAAGTACGAATCTTGTTTTTTTTTTTTTTTAAATTTTTTTTTTTTTGTTTTATTTGTGACAACTAAACATAGTCTATTTTGGTAACATGCAGCAAGAGTATATTCGAGGAATAAGTGCTTGGAATTTTAATTTGGAGGACTTGAAGAATCAAGCTGCACTTGTACACAATACTCAAATAATAATTTATCATTTTTTTTTTAAATAACATGCTTAATGTTTCTTGTAATTTTTGCTTTTTTTGAGGACAGATTCACGACTATGATGAAAATTCAAATGCAAATGATCCGAATTCAAGTTCAAAGCAAGAAAATGGATTCAATGATGTTGGATTACAATCAGAAAGGCCATTATCCCCTGAGATAATAATACCTAATCATTCAGATGATGTTGAGGTATATCATGAGATAATACCTAATCAACAAAATTGAATTTATTTTGAGATATATTTGAAATCAAACTTTTTTAATTTGTAGGATGAAATTGATGAAGTTCCTAATTTGGAGGATTCATTTGCATCATTTCCTATGAAGCCTCTTCAAGCACTCAAGTAAGATCATATTTAGCATATCTGAATTTCAGTTTCATTAATTTGTTTATTATAGCATTTTATTTTCATATCTATCTATTATCATATTATACTTTGAAGTTTGAAAAATCTATCGAATTATACAAATGTCATATTGTCATATCCAAATATAAAGCAATTTTCATTCATATAATGGCTTAGACTTTTCAAATTACAATGTTCTCATAAGAAAAAATTTGGGCTATGTTTGGGATGCTACAACTAGCTTATAAGCTAAGCTTTTTAAAAAGCTACTCAGACTTTTTTGGGATTTTATAAAATTCTCCCAAATATACCCTTTATCAATTACGAAAAAACTCAATCTTCTACATGCCCTTTTATGTCATTTTACATAGCTTATCAACTAGTTTTACCAAACATCATTTTTTATCATCTAGCACATAGCCTTAAAAAATACATTGCTTTAATTGAAAATAAACTGGTAATTATTAGGCATAAAATTTTGTTTTGTTTCTTATAATTTATAATATTTATATGCAGGGGATGTTTTGATATTGATGAAGATAGTGCAGTAGATGAAAATTTATTAGATACTGAAGAAAATGGAATTGAGAATCAAGATTTGAAAAAATCCTTACAACAACAAATTATTATTGGTCCAAAAAAACATTCAAGTGGTTCACTTCTACCTGATAATGTCTTCTCTTCTAAGAAGTTAATTGGCGACTTTGAGAGGTAAAAATAATTAATATATAGACAAATTTACATAAATGGTCCCTGTGGTTGGCGAAAAACACCACTACAAGTCCTTATAATTTTTTTTTTAAACATGTGGTTTTGAAATCTTGCACTGGAGTTCTTATGGTTAACACGGTTATAAAATAAGGGTTAATTGCTTGTGAAATGACCAACTTACCCTTCTTATTTTTTTTGAAATGATTTACAATTAAAAAAAAATAAGTCAATCAAACCCACCAGAGACATTTCTAATACCAGTATTATTATTATTATTATTATTATTATTATTATAATTATTATTATTATTACCTCTGGTAACAATATATTTGGTTATATTCATGGTGAAAAGATTTGTATTTTGTGTTCCTTTATTTGTAGGGTTAATCTCAAAAAAGACCTTATATTTTGTGTTTTTTCCGGATTAAACCTCAAATTTATTTTTTGCCTGAAAAAGACCTTGTATTTTTTTCATTTTTTCCGAAAACCCCCTCAACCTTCTAAATGCTTCCAAATAAACCCTCATCTTTTTTAGTTTTTCTCAAAAAAACCCTCCCATTTTACATTTGGAAAAAAATGACTAATAGGGTCAGATCGGAAAAAATTAAAAATTACAAGGTCTTTTTCAAGCAAAAAATAAATTTGAGGTTTAATCTTAGATAAAACACAAAATACAAGTGTTTTTTTTTTTTTTTTTTTTTTTTGAGATTAACCCTTATTTGTAACTTTTATTTAAATAAATTTTTGGATAGTAATTTATTTCCTGAATAATATGAAGAGAATCTACACAACTGGGATTTCGAGTTGAGCGCAGTTATAGTGGTCCATTACAAAGTCGTCAAAAGAATAACACAGCCAACTCTTTTATTACAAAAGGTACAAAAAAAAAAAAATCCTATTTTTAAATTGTATTAATTAGTTAATTTTTTATTTTCTAATTTTCAAATTTCCGGTTTTTAATAATATAGAGGATGCATCAGAGGAAGCTGTGGTGCAGCGAAAGGGACGTTTTAAGGTCACATCAGCAGATCTCAGTCTCAAGGTATGCAATTACTTATTTATTTTTATAAGACCAAATTCTATAAAAAAACCACAGTTTTTATAGTGATTTTTATAGAATATAAAGTTTTATATAGTGTTTTTAAAAAATTTGACATTTTTCTCCCATTTCTTAGATGCATGCCAAATGCAGTATAACCTGTTATTGTTATTGTTATTGTTATTGTTATTGTGTAATCATTGCTTTTGTTTTGTACTTGAGGCTCCTGTTAATAATTCAAATTTAAGTGGAATTACTAGTCCACCCGCATCAAGTATAACTACTTCACTTCTTCCATCTTTGCAAAGCATTTTGCAACATAACGCATTGCAAAGGGTATGTATGTAATATATGCACCTCATCATCTTCAATTCCATCTAATAACTTTTTCCAATTTCCTTTTTTTTTTTTAATTAAATAAAACTGCTTTTGGTTATTCAGGAAGAATTATATAAATTAATCAAGTTTGTGGAGCAAGTTTCTGGTATTTGTTGGTTTCCCAATATCAAATTATATTCTATGTTTGTGCTTCTAACATTTGAACCCGACTCCTTTTATTTATTTATTTTTTAAATCTTTGTATTAAGGCAATTCCATGGAGTATGTGGATGTGGGACCCAATGAATCATCACAGGTAATAGGCCTTTTGTCTTTAGGGTCTGTATATATATATATATATATATATATATATATATATATATATATATATATATATATATAATGGAATGGGAACCGAAACCCTAATGGAATAAGTCATTACATTACATAAACATGTAAGGTTGGCCTCTAGGAATAATATGAATTTTCATAAGATTTTTTTTATTCTATACGTAAATCCAAGGAATACCATACCTTAACCTATAGTTAATTAACTATTATTTTACAAAAATTAAAAAATAAACGTAACAAACACATTAAAACCGAAATAAGTTACAATAGGAATATATAACTCCCCGTGGCTATGGAGTTGAAACTAACCCTTCAGGAATGCTCAATTCCGGTTTTCTTCATTCCAACGGAATGATCCATTCCATTCCATTCCATTCCTTCAGCTGAATCTGTTGAATATTTACTACATGTTTTGATTTTGAATATCTATTAGCAGACACCTCTTGCTTCTCCAAGGGAGAAAGAATTACAGTCTCAAGTGATCCAATTACAACAAAGGTATGAAAACCCGATTTACTATTCTCAAGTTTGCATTTTTATATATATAAAATAATCTGAAAATTACTTTAAATTTCAGAAATGGGATTCTGGCTGAGCAATTGCAAAGACAGAAGATGAAAAATGCACAGGTATCTCCATTTTTTTACCAATAATAACAATATACTTTATTTTCTTACTCATAATAGCAACACCTTTATATTCTTTATACCCATAATAGTATTAATATTATTACATATTGCTATTATCGATAAAAAAATGTAAGTATGCTGTTATTATGGAATGCATATTACTATATACTAACAATTGTCCCCCTAGATTAATAATTACACTTTCGGTCCCTGTAGTTTCAAATTTCAATAAGCACAGATTTAGCCCATGTAGTTTTCCATTTCAATAATTACATTTCGCAACCTTATAATTTGCACTAATTACAGTTTTGGTCCCTGTAGTTTGGTAATCTAAGATAGTTATAGTTTTAGTCCCTGTAGTTTTAAATTTATAGATTTGGCCCCTATAGTTTTTAGTTTCAATAATAACAATTTCAGCCCCTGTAGTTTATAATTATCATTAGTTACAATTTTAGTCCCTGTAATCCAGGGCGTCCCCACTATTTACTATCAGTGCTACAACTGTAAAAATATAGTTACGTTATTATCATAGGTAAAAAATAACGTATGTTGCCTATATTAGTAATTGTGATATCATGTTTTTTATTTTTTATTTTTTATTTTGGTAGTTGGAAATGAAACTTAGTGATTTGATGAAGAAAGAAAACATCCAAGAATGATTCATGATGACAATAATGATGATTTTTACATGTTTCGATGCATTCATGTGTCACTTTTTTGACACATGCCGAGTGGTAATTTTATCTTGTAAAAGTGTAAAATATTTGTGAATATAAACTTTACTATTGTTGTAATCATGTTACTTTAAATATTGAAATTCTTTTAGTTTTGGTGTTATAGAACTACCCGTACCATTTATAATCTTATTTGAAGTATACATTTTAAATTTGATATATGAATCTTATCAAGATGATTTGTTTACCAATGAGATATATGAGTTTATTACCACTTCACACTTTTAAATATGTGAGATGATAAAGTTGATATACAACCTTTAAGGGGCAAAAATACATTTACTAAAAACTAGAAATTAGCCTGTGTGTAGGGAGCAAGCCTACAAATATACAAAATTCATGTGGCCAAAGTGTGAAAACAGAAAAAAAAAAAAATAATGGAGACGGATATGGCATATATTGTGTGAGGAGTAATCTGCAAATTTTGTATTAGGTACGGATTATTTTTGTATCTTTTTTAAACACATGGACTATTTCTGCAAAAAAAAAATACATAAGGAGCTTTCCTGTAAATTATAGGGATAATTTTTGTAATTTATTTTCTACAAAATTTGCCAACATATCCAAATGTTAAACATAGGAACTTTTTGTAAAAAAAACCAAACAGGAACCTTTTTGATAAATTATAAAATTATAGTGACTAAATATGCTAATATTGAAGTTTTTTTGGAACAAATCTTAATTATAAAAGCTTTACTATTCATAAGCCATTTGTATTTAATACTAGTTTATAACCCGTGAGATCCACGGTTACAAAAGTAATTAAACTTTTATAATTAAAACTAAAAATTATTAATTAATTATTTTAAATAAATTACTAATTAAGAGATATTTTTTAGTTATATAAAATTATAATCGGTGATTTAAATAAATATGTGACCTTATAATCTGTATTAATTTTATTTTAATTTTAATTTTAATGTAATTAATTTAATGTAATTAAAGTGGAAATTTAAAATTTGAAATGGAGAATCAATAGGTTGACAAGTGACATGATAGGGTGACACATGATAAAAGGAAAATAAACATATTCTTTTATTAGAATAGAAAGATATAGTATAATAATATAATAGGGAATCCAGTGATTTACTTAACTATTCGAAATATATTGTTAGATTTGTTTTTCAGTTATTTTGATTTTTTTGTTTTCTGTTTAACTACTGCAATGATTTTTTTTTTCAAAAAATACACTACATAAACTTTGAATTTTATAAAAATCACTATAGTTTGATTATTATTATTATTTTTTCGATTTAACCATCTGCTCATTTTCACAACAATTAGAAACAATTAGAAGATGAATGTTCACTTCTCTCTAATTTGAAAAATCATATGATTTCATCACATAGTCAACAAAGACTAATTTTGAACAAATTACTGAAATAGTCCCTGTGGTTTGGCTAAAGTTGCACGTTTGGTCCCTATGTTTTGTTTTGCACTCGGACCATCCCCACGTTTTCTTTTTATTACCCGCCTGGTCCCTGGGTCCGTTAGTCGTCAATTCCAAACGTTAAGTCCCTCACGTGCTTCGCACATGAGGGGTATTTTCGTCATTTTATACATGGCGCCTAAATGCAATGCCAATCGTTTCTTCATTCCGATCATTTTACGATCACCTCCCTCTCACACACACACTCTCTCTCTCTCACTTAATCTGTAACTCATCAAAATCGAGTAGAAACCCTAACTCCTCAAAATTTTGCAAGAATCATCGAAGCAACAATGGTGGGTTGGAGGATTAGAGCAAACATGGAAGAAATAGACGTTGAAAACCATTACGGTAACCCCTTAATTTCAAAAGTTAAATTTATCACTTACAAATTTCAAGCTAATAAGTTGAAGCTTTCTCTTTTACAGCTGGTCATCCAACTATCTTCTCCATCAGATTATTCTATGGTGGAGAGTTTACGAAGTTTCCTGGAAGGAGGTACGTCAAGGGCAAAGAAAGATACGTTGATCTATTGGACATTGATGAGTTTTGTGTGCACGATATTGATGAGATGATGGAGACCCTAGGCTGTGTTGAGGAGGGTAAGTTGCTTTATTACCACTTCAAAAGACCCTTTTCAGATTTGGACTTTGGGTTGTTTGCATTGGCTAGTGACAGTGACATTAACCATTTGGGTACATACGTGGGTCAACATAAACTGATTGAAGTTTATGTTGAACATGGTAAAACAATGTTGCATACATATACAATGTCATCTACCCCTAGTAAAGTTAGGATAGAAGAAATCGTTGATCAACCTTCGTGTAGTAGAAGGCTTTTTTTGGAATGGAAGGAAACTGAAACAGGGGATTGTATTGGATCAAGTAAACCAAATGTTGTGCCAACAAAAGAAACTGAAAGTGCCCAAATTGATGCCCAATGTGAAACACAAGGTATATGTGATGAATTTGATGAATTTCTAAATGAAGAAACTGGAGGGATTACTCATGAAAGTGACAATAGAGATGATGCTGATGATAGTGGTGATAGTGGTGATAGTGATGATAGTGAGTTCTTAGTAGACTTAGATAACCTCCTAGATGAACTTGAGATAGACATGAATGAGTTTTTGTTAAATATTGATGAAGATATAGAGTGGGTGGGTGATCTTGGAGGGTCAAATGTCAAGGAAACATAAACAAGGGAAATTGATGATATTGAGGTTGTAAACAATGAGGTATTCTTATATGAGTCATCATCTGATGAAGGTGGGAGCAACAAGAGAAGACATGTTGTGGAACTGTGCAAGTACAACAACAATACAAGAATTCAACCATGCTATGGAAGAGTTAAGAAAGCTAAACAATGACTGCTACGAATGGGTTAAAGCTATTCCACCTCAACATTGGTCTAGGGCACACTTCACAGGTTTGTTTTATTTTGTTGGGTTAATTGTTACCAAATGATTCACTTTCTTACATAATTTTTTATTTATATTGTAGGGAGGGCTCATTGTGATGGGCTTCTGAATAACTTGTGTGAGACCATAAATAATCAAATTAAGAAAGCACGCGACCAACCAATTATCACATGCCTTGAGTACATTAGAGAGTACCTTATGTTAAGGATTGTTAGTGTCCAAAAGGTAATTGATAAGGCTGTTGGACCATTAACTCCAACTGCAACAAGTGTGCTTGAAAAAAACAAATCTGATGCAACTCAATGTGTGGGTAAGTTCTGTGGGAATGGAAAATATCAGGTGAGTGGTCCATGGATGGACCAATGTGTGGTAGACATGGCTCAGCACACATGTTCTTGTAGAAAATGGGAACTCACTGGTATACCCTGTAAACATGCCCTTGTTGCTATATGGGACATGCGAAAAAATAAGCAGAATGTTGGCGTACCTGAAGAATGGGTTCATGCTACTTACTGGTTAAAAACTTGGAAGGAAATGTATTCTTTCAAGATTGAACCAATTAATGGAAGAAGAATGTGAGAAAAGTTTCCATGTCCAACCACTTTGCTTCCTCCTAATCATCATGTCCCCATTGGAAGATCAAGGAAGAAAAGAAGGAAATCAGCTGTTGAATTAGAAGATATGGTGAAGGGTGGTAGGGCATCAAGGAAGGACAAGAGTGTGACATGTTCAAAATGCAAAAAGCTTGGTCATAATAAAAGAAGCTGCAAAGGTCAAAGTGCATGTGATACTAGTTCAAGCAAGAAAGGGAAAGCTGGGAATAAAGCTAAAAGTGTAGGTGATGGTAGTTCAATCAAGAAAGGGAAGGATGGGAAGAAAGGTCAAAGTGCAGGTGATGGTAGTTCAAGCAAGAAAGGGAATGTTGGGAAGAAAGCTCAAAGTGTAGGTGGTGGTAGGCAAAGTGGAACTCAAAGTGCATGTGATGGAATTTCAAGCAGGACAAGGAAGGCTGGGAAGAAAGGGAAGAGTATTGCTTAAGTTATGATTGTGTTTTTATATTTTGTGTCTGTGTTATGAACCAATTATGGTGTTATGATCTTTTAATGTATCTCTATTTTCAATTATGGTATGAACAATTAGTGCTATAATCTGTTGCTATGTTTTTGTTTTAATTCAATTCCATTTTATCCAATTCTATTCAATTATTCAATTCATTCCATTCTAATTCAATACCATTCAATTCTATTCAATCATTCAATTCAATTCCATTCCAATAGAAAACCAGTTAATTGCATTCCATTACAAACCACTCAATTCCATTCCATTATAAAACAGTCAATTGCATTCCATTACAAACCACTCAATTCCATTCCATTACAAACCACTCAATTCCATTCCATTATAAAACAGTCAATTCAATTCCATTCCATTACAAACCACTAAATTCCATCCCATTAGAAAACTGCATTGATGAAACAAAAGATAAGTACATTGATAGCATAAATTAGAGCTTGTAAATTAAAATTGACACAAAAAAAACCCAACTGAACACTAATAACAGCCTCAAGGCCCTATTCTCATGTTGAAGCTCATTCAATGACTTCTGCAAATCAGGGGAGATACTTTTTTCAGTTTTTTCACCATTAAAGTTGTCCTCATCAACCCAATCTATGAAAACCACATTTTGCTCCCTGCATTTTGAGTAATTTGGTGTGTGTTAAAGGTATGTGATATATAGATATACTTAAGAAGAAATTGTCCTTACCTTTCCAGTACAACAATAGAAAAGTCTTCCAGGGTTTTTCTTGGTAGTCGATCTTCGTATCACACCAACTTCACCACATTGCAGGTTTTTTCCATTAGGGTTGATCGACACTTCAAAGAAGACGAAATGAAGGAGAAGAAGAAAGGGCGTATTCGAAAATAGAGAGAATCGGGGTTTAGGGGTGTTCTAATAGATTTTTTATATAAAATGACGAAAATACCCCTCATGTGCGAAGCATGTGAGGGACTTAACGTTTGGAATTGACGACTAACGGACCCAGGGACCAGACGGGTAATAAAAAGAAAACGTGGGGATGGTCCGAGTGCAAAACAAAACATAGGGACCAAACGCGCAACTTTAGCCAAACCACAGGGACTATTTCAATAATTTGTTCATTAATTTTTATATTATATCTTGTAATTTGTGTGCCTCAAATAAATATCAGTTGTCAATTACGAAGAAAAGAATTATTAATGGAAAATTCAAACATACATTTGTCCTTCATTTTATTTACTTTTCTTCAAAATTTCTACAACTCTACTAATTTCCGCTATTGTCATTTTTATTGAGAATCAATGATCCCAAGCAATCCAAACTCATCGTGTAAGCGGGAGTATGAGGTTGAGATAATAATGTACATAAACTTGAATCTTCAACTATAGCCAACTGGAAACAAAAATAAAAAATAAAACTGCCATGTTTTCTTCAACTTGAAAAAAAGTTACCATTGAAATTGATAATGGAACAACTATATATAATTCGCACAAGTTTGCTAACTAGAGATGTGCTAAGGAAATCAAAGAGCTCGAACAGAAGGTAAAAATCAGTTTTTTAAGAAAGACTATGTATGAAACTCTAAATAAATGTTTAACATTTGAATGACCACCTTTTGTCAAAAATAGAAAGGAGATGTGCATGGTATGGTTGCAACATCCATTAATGGATCAACAGTTGATGTGTTTGTATGGTCTTATGAAAGTTGGCACAAGAAGAAATTTGTCACAAGATATGTGATTGTCAAAGTAGATAAAATAAAGAAAAGATGTTTGTCATAGGAGAATGGAAAGTAATTTTAAATGAATCGGTTGTTATTAGCCCATAATAGATGGAATGAGTAGCTTAGAGGAGGAAAGCTAGGATTTTGTTGGAAGTAACATGTTTGCTTGAAGTATCCTTTTGTTGTGAGGTAGAACAGATTAAACAATGGTGTCGATGTTTATGGTGATGGATCAGTCTTTATGTGTATTTGGTTTGTTTAACTTGTTAGTGTTGCTGGATTAATAGCATGAAACAATATTTGAAAGTAATTATTATAAATGCATAAAATTTGTGGTTTAAAATCATAGTTTTACAACGTTTGAACCTTCCTATGTCCAGGGAAAATAATTCAGAACAACACTAAATGCAATGTCGTTGGAAGGGTTTTTTTTTTTTTTTTTTTTTTTCATTCCTTTTACCCATTTAACCTCCAAACAATTAACATTTGCTGAAAAATGTCAAAATCTCGCACATAATTACAAAAACGCCATACCATCTCGGGAGATATTGACGATAAATAAAATAAAATCTCCACCTTTTATTTTTTCAATTCTTTAGCAAAGATTGGACCTTGCAGTCCTCACTTATTTTTGAGTTCTCACCGATCCAACTTATATATATATATATATATATATATATATATATATATATATATATATATATATATATATATATATATAGTCACAAGGATCGCCACATAGCCACGATCCACGTTCCAAACGCCCTGTTCCCAAACGCGGTACAATTTTGTACCGATCGCCGACCGAAATGCTCTTTGGTACGGCTTCCTTGCGATCCCTTCTATTCTCTGATTCGCTCCTGGGAACGTGATTTTGGCGAATTTGATTGCACAGAAACGCGATTGGGATCGCCAATTTTGTGTTTTGGCGGGAAATAGTTTTCCTGTGAAAACCATGTCGACGCTTGATTAAAGTCCATCGATTCCATGTCTAATGCCTTCATTTCCCACATCTGATTCCTCCAACATCCATCGATTCAATTTATAACATATGATGCTACTCAATTTCATCATCATCACAATCGATTTCTGCTTTCCCCTATATTCTTCCACTACGCTGTATTCATTCTTCCTTTTCTTCTTATACTATTCAATATTTATTTTCTTCTTTGAAATGATTTTTGACAAGATTCAAGATTTTTACTCGTCCAGAAGACAGCGAAATAGAAGCCCCTGAAAACTTTGTTGATCTTGGCAAGGATAATGATTTTGTTTAGCTTCTAAGGCTGATGTAATCTGTTTCTGTTTTTCTAAGTGCTTGGAAGTTGGAATTCTATTTTTTATGTTTGAACATCAGGTTTAGGTTTATGACTAAAATTCTGGAATTCTGTTTTGAATTGTTTTTTAATAGCATCTGTTTATGTTTTTTTCTAAGTGCACCAGAATTCTGTTTTCAACTGGGTACACGTACGGCTTATATGGTACACCGTACCGGAACGTACCGAAATGAGCCTATCCCCCACCGTACCCGATATGTCTAACCTAACGAATCGCGTTCCCGATCCTCGTTCCCGTACCGGAACGTACCGTGAACTATGTAACTATGATATATATATATATATATATATATATATATATATATATATATATATATATATATATAGAGAGAGAGAGAGAGAGAGAGAGAGAGATTCAACCTCAGCCATATATTTCACATCTGCCGTTCTAACTCTCCGGCATATCGGCACGACAAAGTTGTTATAATCATAAATGATTATATAGCGCCGCCCGTTCCTTTCTCCTCCGCCACCATCCCCATCACCACAACCGCCACCGCCACCACCACTACCACCACCTCTGACACCAGCTGACCCCACCACTGTCACCTCCGTCACTTATACCACCGCCACCTCTGTCACCACCACCTCTTCAGCCACCAACTGTCATAATCATTTATGATTACTCAGTCTGTGAACAAACATATATGTATAATCATTTATGATTAGGCATACTCTGCTGTTGCCGGTACGCTGGAGCGTTAGAGCGTCAAATGAGAAATATGTGGCTGAGGTTGAATCTTAAGATCTCTACTTTTTTATTTAATTTCAACTGAACCGTGTGTATATATATATATATATATATATATATATATATATATATATATATATATATATATATATATATATAATGTACAGTTCTAACTTCTACCTTAACTATGCCAAAATAATGGTTTATCTGCTTGAGAGTTTGGTGTGCTAACAGCCATCGGAGTTTAGATACCATACATCGGTGGGTTTACCAAACTTGTTGATGAATTAGTCGCATTATAGAACCACTTTCATGTCGTTCTTAGCTATAGAATTAATTGGGATGTAAGGATCAAGAAAATAGTAGATTTGATTTGTCCATCCTTTACTTGGCCAGTTTGGTCATGGGGTATTCCCTTATATGGTTTTTGCAATAAGAATTCAAATATTTTAAAAAGAAAACAAAATAAATGCTCCAGCATTCTCTGCGAGGTTCAACGTTGCGACCCACCATGTATTATTTTGTTTGGTATTAATAGATAATGATATTTGTGATTCATTATCTTTGAGAATTCAAAGCTCTTTTGTTATGTTGAAGGATTTTGTGACTCGAACTTTGTCAAGTACATAAATAAAATGGAAATACACATATAGCTAGCCATGTTTGATGTTTCACACTTGGATGTACAACTATTAGTTGGAGAGCAATAGAGACTAGATATCACCTTGTCCATAACCAAGAATGAATTAATTTCGACATTTGAAGCTGCTAAGGAAGCTTTATACCTTAAGCAACTTTTACGTTGATTTAGGTTTTACACATGAACATGTTTTGTTAAATCCAGATAATCGAAGAGCCATTTATCTTGCTAAATTTTTTGGCATTTAGTTCACAAACAAGCGTTCAAAGTCCAATAATCCTTTATTGTAACTTTGTATGAAGAAAGAATAACCCTATTGAAAAAGATTCATATCAACGAATCAATCTTGTCCCTTGATCATATATCAATACAACCACCCACCAAACGGTCTTTTAGGTGGATTAGTCTGATCATCCAGCTAAACGCACAAACACTCTGGTCAGCATAGTTGAAGGTTCTTTTACGGGTTTGTTTCATACATGAAAGGTTTTTAGGTTTAGCATGTTTTTTTCTACAAACGAATGCTTCCTTGAGGTATCATTAACTGAAATACATTGAGCAAATCTGAGAGATCAAATTAAAGAGTTTATCATGGATTTTGAATAGTTAATATAGGGTTCTAGTTTTGGTGATAATTTCGGTTCTAGGTAAGGTAGCACCTTTGTAATCACGTTCCATTTATCCTATTATTCTATATATATCATTTAGGGATGAAGATCCCAACAGAAAAATAACATAAAAACGATCCGTATGAAATAGTCCAAATTATATTGATGTGCGTATTGGAGTGAACCACATGGACCGTTTTCTAATATACTTTAATAATAATAAATATTAAAAATAATAATATTATTAATGGACACTAAAAATAGAAAGTTATTAAATTCTTATATTCAAGCTAACCGGTAGTTGCTATATAAAGGGAAAACGCTTTACACATGTTGTCAATATTTCTACTTTCTGTTCTCAATACTTCTTCCAGCAGCTTCAATGGGTGTCATACGGACAGACGAGAGTCGGAGAGCTGAGATCGAGGAGTTCCGGCGGATGTTGCTATCCTGCTCCGGCGTTGTCCTCAAGGTTAGAACCGAAGTTAAGTACAACCGCCGGCAAGTGCCAGCATCTAACAGAAATGAAGTCACAGTAGATCAGAAGCTTGTATGCGTCACAAGCGGCGTCTCTTTCCTTGGCATCGCTATTGTGAAAAAACTCTTACTCAGAGGCTACTCCGTTCGGATCATCGTCGATAACGAAGGTAAAAATGGTGCTGTTCTGTGATTTATTAGATGAGATTTTTGTGCATCTATCTTCTATACTAGTTTAATCATGAATTAACAGGAAGTATTTGGAATTACAGGCGATATTGAGCGATTGAGGGAGATAGAAATTACAGAGGAGGCAGGAGGAAGATCGAACATTACAAGCAGCAATCAGATCGGAGTTGTGCAGGCGAATTTCAACGAACGTCGAAGCTTAATGGAAGCGTTCGATGGATGTTGTGCTGTATTTCATACCGCGGCTTTCATTGATCCGAGTGGACTCTCCGGCTACTCAGTGAGTCTCTTACTCTCTTTCCATATCCTTTTCCGATCACGTAGAGACAAAAGTCACTATCTTAGCAGGTCACTGACAATAATCAATTTTCCACGAAAAAATCAATGCAGACACTGTGTGTGTTGTCCAAGATCTGAATGGGTTGTATTATGTCATATTTGGCTTTTGGTGAATTATTTATTTTTTGTTTCCGTCTAGAACATTTTCTAAATATACAATAGATTAAAATAGTATAGTTTTAATATGGTCTAGAATCTTTTAAACAATCGAGTTAGATTCATTATAAATAAAATTTTATTGTAAACATATATTTTAAACAATCGAGCTGATAATTTTTTTATCATGAAATTGATAGAAAATAATGGCGGAAGTTGAAGCACGGGCAGCAGAAAATATAGCGGAAGCCTGTGTTGCCACGTCATCAATTAGGAACTATGTGCTTACATCTTCTCTATTGACATGCATTTGGAGAGACATTTCCGATAGCAGCCTCTCTCCTGTAGTAGACCACAATACTTGGAGTGATGAATCCTTTTGCAAACGCAAAAAGGTTAATATTCACATTTCACAATCAGATATTTGATTTTATTTTATGAAAAATCTAAACAAGATAATTATTTATTGGAAATATTGTAGTTATGGTATGCTTTGGGGAAGTTGAAAGCAGAACACGTGTCATGGAAAATAGCCAAGGAAAAAGGGTTGAAATTGGCGACAATATGCTCTGGTCTTGTAACTGGACCACGTTACTTTTGTGCAAATCCATCATCCACCATAGCATACCTCAAAGGTGAGTTGACTCAATTATATATTGCGTTGATTCCAATTTTCTTCTAGAACGAAATAGTAACTTATTATTATTTATTTGTGTATTATAAAAGTTTCTTTGTTCTTTTTAGGGTTAATATGAGAAAATAGTATTGAACACATGACGTTTTAATTCACTATCTTTTAATTGTATTAGGAGGCTAATAGATTTTGATTGGTGAAATGGTATTGAACATTTTATGTGGTGTTCATGTGGTGTCTAATTTTATAGAATAAGTTTATTTTATATGCACAACCGTTTTATCATAAACCTATCGAATGTTATATTCGATTAATGGGACATATCAAAGGGCTTCTAGCTAAGCGGTATCTGGTGTTGCCCTCCCTCCTTGAGGTTGAGGGTTCAAGTCCCGTCGTGGACATAAGTGAATTTAAGGTGTAGTTTAGAAGTAGGTTAGATTTACGTTTAAAAAAAAAAAAAAGATTAATGGGACATAGAATAAAGAATGATGAGCCTATTGAACACAATTAATAATAAATGACCTAAATAGCAAAGTAAAAATTATCGATGATTATTTTGTAACATTAATATTTCATTTTATTACAAGATTATTTTTTTTGATAATTTTATTATGATATAATAATTGAAAACTCTGTCAGTTTATCTGATATTGTGCTTTTCTTTTGAAATATTATATTTTGTAAATCCAAAATACTTTTCTTATTTTGACTAGTCTATTGTGGAAGCTTTAAATCAAAACAAAACTTTTTCAAATATAAATTGTACATTTTTATGATTTTGGTAGAAGCTTTCTCAATCACATTTTTTCTGTTCTTTGTTTATTTTTATTTATTAATTATCTAGATAAAATTTGATGATATATTAAATTATAAATTAGAAAATAAAAAATAAAAAATAAAAATATTAAATTATAAATTAGAAAATAAGAAAAAAAAAGCACAATCTACTTAAACTGTTAATACACTTAATTTCTATTTATGAACTTTATTTTGTGTACTAGAAAAAGATAACATTTTATTTATTTTTATTTGCTTTGAAGTTTTTAGGTTATCGAATTGTAATTGAGGTGTAAAAAAAACTCCACTATTATGGATGCTCTCCGATAATCTTTCCAATATTATCGATAATTGATTACAAAAAGTGAAAATTGTTTTCTGATCAAATAATGTTCCAATAATTAGGTATATTGTTTTTAAAATTACCATTTTGTGGTATAAAGAAATTAAACATATGTTACAGTTTTTATATTTAAGCCTTCAAATATTTCATAAACATCACTAACGTTAATAGGAATATGCAGGTGGTCAAGATATGTACGACTACAGTTTATTAGCAACTGTTGACGTTGATAAATTAGCAGATGCACATGTATATGTATACGAGGAAATGAACAAAAAGTGGTGGTGGTAGGTACGTTTGTTATGACAAAGTCGTTTGTAGCCCAAACGAAGTTCAAAGATTAGAAGAGGAAACAGGGATTCATATAAACACAACTTCAAATGATTCTGAATTCCGATTTGTTTTGTCAAATAGAAAGCTTGATCAACTAATGTTCCAAGTGCATAGATGTTCAAACTTATATTAGCTTGTTGAAATTAGATCTAATAAAATGCAAATTACACAAAAATGGGTGGGTTGGTTGATTATTATATCTAAATAGACAAGTTTTTGTAAATGGTCAACTGGAGCATCTTTTCTCCCCGAAGTATTATGTTTTTTTATTGACAGAAGAGTATATTAAATATAGTTTCATAAATTAGGGTATTATAATAGAATTATGGTACTACAATCATGATATAATGTTGAATAAAACAATTTAGAAGAAACGAAGATGTTAGGATTAAGGCTACTTCAAACAGATAAGAATACGACTTTATTAGAGTGCCGAAGATTATAACAAAGAATAAAAGAACAAGAACACTGTGATATAAGTGGTTCACTTAGTTTGCTGATCAAGCTACGTCTGTTGGGCAAACCGGAGAGATATTTATTATAAATAATTACAATATTTTTGCGTATCCATCAGAATTACAATCGAAGAGTATTTATAGAAAGGATTGCCTAGCAATCAGTGTCAAACCAACATGGGCAAACATGGCGGATGATGTCAGAGAAAGACCATGTTGATCGTATAAGACAGGTCGTCTCCAGAAAGACATGGAAGTCAACACACATCGGGCGAGGCGAACCGGCCAAAGTTGCAGATAACACGTCTCTTTGGATTCTCCCAATATTCTGCTCCTAGAATGGTATTGTTGCTATCTTTCCATAGAACTCTGCTAACTGAGAACATGTTGTTCTCTGCTGCTACTAGATAACTGCGCTCAGTTAAATAGCAGTTGACTGTGCCTAGCCGGATGACCACTGATTCGCTTATCACTACGGATTGGTAATCAGACTCTATACTAACAATATCCCGATTGGAGGTTGATTGAACAATCATGTTGTCATCCATGTTGTTACCCCAATCCTTAACTCTCTAAATTGTCACTCATTTTATAAATACAAAAATGAAAAAGAAATAATGGCAAATCTATCTTTTTTTTAGAACGGCAGAGACAAATCTATCATTTATAATATTTTCAAAAAACTTTGGACCAAAACCGCAGTAAAATTCCTATTTCGGACCAGTGGTGCCAGTCTAAAACTTTTCGGACAAAAGTGTCAATTTTCGACATTCGACAGAGACCATTTTTGCAGTTTTGTCTTCCATAAACCATTATCCGCATTTTTAAATACTAAATACCAGTGTTGTAAAAATCCTGACTAGGTCTCTATTAATCTTTGATTAGTCCCTAGACGCTGCCCGATCGACTAGAAGGCGTTTAAAGATTAATATCTTTGCTTACACAATTGTGACATCCCCATTTTCACGGCTAGAAAAGACCGATTTGTTTATGCTTATTTTGTTTAAAATCAGAGAATTCATTTTAAAGAATAATATTGCGGAATTTGTTCCCAGAAAACATGATAAAGATTTTATCAAAACATTTCCGAAGAAATCTATTTTTATTTATATTAAAACATTAGGATGTCATCGTCAATACATAAACATAAGCATAATGAAATATTACAAGCCTTACAGTAATTAAACTACTGGCCTAATACTCCTTGAATCTCTCAACATAATGTATCTTTCATATATCCACATGTGATACAATAAACTGAGTTGGGTCAGGTTGGGAAACCTGATGAGTAGATTGAGTTTTCAACCCACAATAATATAGTTAATTTGTTTCTTCACATATTTCATGTGTAACAATTAACTCGATTACCCATCATCATTTTCTTTATTTAATCTTCCCTAAAGATTTATCCCAAGGGTCATCTCCCACATCGTATTTACCTTTCATCTCCTTATATCACATTTCCTTATATGTTTGTTCCTAAGGACTTTTCCTAAGGATCATCGCCTACATCACATAGACAGTATCGATTCGGGGATTACTCCCCCAATACGTGTCTAGTAAGGGTGAGAGTATCATCGCATGAATATGTAGTTACTACGTCGCCTGAACTCGTAATTCATCACCTATAGGTTATGAGTCTGCCGGTGTTTCCACATGACTTGTTTAAATTAGTCAGTGGTCGCCATCTATACTCAGGTAGATGACTACATCGCAACATCGCATGTCAAGGTTATGGCATCTCCTAATCATCTCTCATCTCGCATCACCTATCTATCATCACCTAGTAATCACCACATTTTTATCATCACATATCTCTCATCACCCGTCGCTACCCAATACATATTCATAAGTATATAATGTTTATATGATTAAATGAGTTAAACATCATCTCATAATATCTTATCTAACACATAATATTCTCGGCATAGAAAATAAGCACATAAGCATGAAATTATCCTGATACTTCATATCTATGTGTAAGATGAAAGTAACTATGCACTCACTTTTTAAAGTGGTGACTCGAAACTCGGACAGTGCTTCGCTCCTAGCAATTGTCTTTTCCGTCGACGTAACCTAGAATTATTATCACTAAGTTTAGTCTAATATTTATTGCGACTAAGTATTAGTCTAGATTTATCATTAACCAAAAGTCTACTTTCATGATCTATCAAGTAAGGAACAACCAGGTAGGATCATATCGGAGGTAGGGTCTGTTTGGTATACGAAGTATACTGTTTGGAAATCCCACTTTAAATGCCTCATTAAATCACAGCCTAGACATCATCCCCGTAAGTAGACCAATCAGTATAACGACTTGGAATCACTGATAAATCTTGTTTGTAGGTTCATAATAACGATAATGAACTTAAACATAAGTTATACTTAAAGTATGGTAAGCATAACTCACTTACAAGGGAGTTTAACGAGGAACCGGGCTCTGCGCGGGCAGAACTTCAGATCCGAAAGCTCTTCTTCTCGGAGCCTTCTAGCGCCATAGGACTCGCTACTAATACCTAGAAGGTGTGAGGGAAAGGAGAAGAGGGTTTGAGGGTATTTGGGAGAGAAGAGTTAGAAAGGTGTGAGAAATAATGAGGAAAAACGCCTCATATTTATAGGCTGGGAATCGCGTGTACGTTGGGCGTACTTGGTACACGGGGCATACCAAGCCCTACGGTGGGCGTACGCTGCCACGTTTCGAAATCGCATGCAAAGCCGTGGGGAGGAAGGTGCGACTGAGATGGTGCCACATGTCACCTCCGAAACTTAACCCCAAAATTAATTATCTTCTAAATTCCATAACTTTCTCATACGAGTTCCGTTTTTGATGTTCTTTATATCCATGCATAGGTAGCGACGTGATCTACAACTTTCGTTAAGACTCCGTCGGCTAATTTTGAAGTTATTTTAAATGTTATATTTTAACAGGCTTAGACAGTTAAAGTCCGTTAAAAATTCGTAACTTTGACATCCGACGTCCGTTTTCGACTGTCTTTATATTGTTGAGCTCCTATTAACGAGATCTTCAATTCTCATTTAGGTTGTGTCGGCTAAAAATCGATCGATCTAAAATTCGATTTCCGGGCTGTATACTGCTACGCTGAATCTTAGAAAAATAATAACTTCCTCTAACGAAGTCAGATTTGGACGTTCTATCTATATATATCTATATATATATATATATATATATATATATATATATAATATATATATATATATATCTATATATATATATATATTATATGTTTCTCGGTTTAATGTCTACTACGACTTTCGTTTAGACCTCTAAGGCTAAAAATTAGTTTGTCAAAAATTTACTTTTTATGATACGCGGAGCCGTGTCGGTTTAATCATGAATCTTCGACGGGTCATGTCACACCCCGCTAAAGCGGAAACACGAGGCGTGACAGTATAAAGGGTTTCATAGCAAAAGTTAAAAGACAACACCAACCATAGTATTAAAAATCATTACAATTTTACAATGGGTTTGAACAACTTTTAAAAGAAATTACAATATAAATTGAAATACAACACATGCGAATGCTCCTAAAAGTGAAGTGTCCCTAAATGCCACTTACTCGATGATTCCTGAAAAAGCATGTAAAACGAGCGTCAACTATAAAAATAGTTGGTGAGTACTCACAGATAAACAAAATAATATTGGTTCCATGAATTGAAATTAAAGTTTTGATAAAAGTTTCCAATAATAAAAATATATTGTTAAAATGAGTAAATAAGTTTGTAAAAACAAAGTTCTTTGTCATCATGAGAGATAAAGTATGTTGCCCAAATAAGATGCAACATTCATATTCTCATGGAAGATAAAGTTCGTTACTCAAACGAGTAAACAAGTTTCATTGCTAAAATGAGCAATCAATTTCGTTGCTACAAGGAGCAAACAATTTCATTGCTAAAACATGTATATAAGTTTTCAGTAATAAAAGTTCGTTGTTGTAATGAGAAACAAAGTTCATTGCTATAATTAATAACAAGTTTATTGCTATAACGAGAAACGAGTTTGTATGTGTATGAGCAAACAATGAGTCTCAACCAAACCTATGACTGAAGCCCTATCAAGATCTATGCTTATCGTTCCATAGATGAATATGGTATCATGCACTCCAACAATAGGGCGAGTGAGGAGTTGTCAATTCCTAATAGCGCTATCCATAATGACCATTGGCTCAAAGAGTTAATGGTTAGAGATAAGGGAAGGGCCTTAGTACGATAAGTTCTCATGTTCCGTGTTGCATAGACATACATAGATAGACATAGCAATAAAATAACAATCATGTTTGATACAAATCAATTTAAATACAACATTCAAAAAATAGTTTTTCGGGACATGCTTTTCCACCCCAAAACATAAAAACTGAAAATAGGGGAGTGCGTGAATACTCACAATATGCAAAATATAGCAACCAAGTTTATACAATCCAATAAAATACAACGAATAATAAATGTTTTTGGACATGCTTTTCCACCCCAAAACATAAAAAATGAAAATAAGGGGAGTCGTGAATACTCACAATGCATTTAGATGATGCAAATGGTGCCTTGAACTACGTTCCACGTGTACCACTACCGATTCCTACAATAATGGTATTCGCTAGTGAGTCTCTAATCGAAATCTAACACTAGTATGCTTACTACTACAATAGAATTATGCCAATA